ACTGGCTGCGTGCTGCTATGGCAACGGCTTCTTCTTTAGGAAGGAGGGTTCCTGTGGTGGTGCACACCCCCACCTCCCTGACAGGCACCGGGAGGGAAAAAAGGTTGGCATCGAACTGAGAAAGCCCAAACTCTGGAGAGGAAAGCAGCAGCGTCTGATTCCCTCGGCCCGAAGATTCCTGTCTGAGCAGAAGCAGCTGCTGGATCTCAGCTGACAGAAACCAAGCTGCAAAGCTAACAATGAGAAAAACTAACCATCATACTTCCTCCTCCCAGCTTCATCTTTAAAGGTCTCAGTTCATCATTTCACGTCAGAATTAAAAATTACATCTCTTCTCTCCTGAGTCATGAAATTTAAAATCTAAAAACCCAAACAACTTGTGGTGATCACCAATAACGGGAGTCATTTTAATTAGAATAAATGTTTGCATCCTTCTTCAGTCTGTTGATGTTCATGCATGTCACCATGACAACTAATCTGAGCCCAAACTTTCAGAGGAACCTTGCACCAATAAGATGCTGGATTGCCCCCTTTGGGTGATGATGCAGACCGACAGCAGAAAGATTCACTTCATGCTTCATTACACCAGAAATAATCATAAACTTCCAATTTGGAGACGAAATCAAAGGCAGTTCTGCTCTTAGAACAGCTCTACCTTCCAAACTTATCTTTCTCCTCTGACTTTACATTTACAGAGAAATTAATAATAACAATCAGATTAATAATTACTGGTGCAATTAAGAAAAAGTCTGCTGATACTGATTTACATAAACCACAGCCAGAACAAAATGCTTTTCATTCTTATTATGCCCTCTGCAGATGGCTTAAAAACATCATTATATGGAAATAAAACGAATTGGAACATTAAAGTCGTAGGGAAACGGCTGTTCCAACTGTTGCATTTCTGAATTCTCCTGAGCGGTGCACGACTTTACACAAGTGAATATAAGTGGCCGGCCTCTTGGAAGCATCTTGCTAACCAGTTAGCATCTTAGTGCTAGCAGGTTCCCAATGGGAAATTCCATTGGGACCAAGTAGCACTAAATTGGTGCCTTAGAAACGACGCTGTCAAGGAACGCTATGGACAGCGGAAACATGCAAGAGGAGGAGAGTTTAGTGTCGGAGGTCGTGGATGAGTCTCCTCCGTCATCCATTTTTTATTTAGAGGAGGGAAGCGGGGACGAAGATGTTGTGGAAGAGGACGCCAGGGTGGCAGAAGCTTGGTTTGGTGTAGAAGGCTTCCAGCCGTACATGTTTGAGCCCTTGCCTCGCAACGCTGCCAGTTCTGTTAGCTCTACGCCTGCCGAAGACACAGACGTCCATCCCCGTGAACACTGGGACGCAACTCAATGGGAAAGGAAAGGATTCTGATTTCAACCGTTGCGTATATTAGCTGCGACACATGAATCAAGATGCTATGACCGAAAACATTTGATTGACAGATGACCTTTGATATATGATTGGCCGAATTTAGGTGAACAAGCTGACGTAGAACTAACTGGCCTTCATAAAATAATGAAAAAAAAAACAAAACACAGATTTTAAAACAGAATTTCTTTTTAAATAGAAATGTTCTAACTTTTGGGACAATACGGTCTGATAAAGAGTACATTTATATACATGTTTAAACCAGAATATCAAATTTAAATATGACTTCCCATGACTTTAAAAGTCATTTTTAAAAGCATTTACTGTCCCACCTGGACAAGAATTAGTGGAAAACAGCTGGTAGAACTGATGCTGTGATCTGCCCAACTTCTTTTTCAATTAAATAGATTTCCTGTTTAAAACCATGTGTCATTTTAAAAAGCATCCTATTAATTATGAAGGACTTATTAGAGATGAATCAAAATCAATAACAATAAGTTATAAACAGAAACTTTCATTATTCTCCACTGTATTTTCTGCATTTGTTTAGATAAACTGGGATTATAGTTTGATCAGAAACTTTCTTTAACTAAAAGAAAAAATAATCTAATACTCCCCTCCAAAAAAATAAATTAAAAGAACATAAAAACTGAAGAAATAAAACAAAACAAAAAAACAATGAAACTGAAAAAAGAAAATATTCAAGCAAAAAGAAATTCCAAAAACTAGTTTTCAATTTCAACTTTCAAACATGCTGCCCCTAAGTGGGGGCGGGCTTAGGCTAATGATTGACAGTTTAGGTGCTTGATGCATTCAGGAACCACCGGAACCAGAAGTTTATTTTTTTAGATTCAACTCATATTTTTCAGTATATTATCTAAAGATTATAAAGCACTACTTTTTAGTTTCAAAGCAGTCAAGTTTCTAAATCATTTTTTAGTTTCATATGATTTTTTTATCTAGTTTGAAAAGAACATTTTGAACTTTATGGCCCCAATTTATCTCCGTATTATCCTCTTATCATATCTAGCTCTAGTTAAATGATTTTGAACGGGCTGCTACGTTTTATTAAAGGCTGCTGCTCCTTACTGGGTGGCAGCCTGTTTAAAGGAGGATAAAATGTGAATTAAACTAAAGATTTAAAAAATTATTATTATTCATCTCCTTCTGTGTGAAGGCGGTAAGATATGCACTAAGAGTTGGGAGCTTTTTTCACACTCAGAGATGATCAACATCCTTAAACTGCAGATCATCACAAACTCCTCTAGACTTCAGATCAGGTCCCTGCAGCCAGGAACCAATCAGCAGCGAGCTCCCTCCCCACTGATACGTTTCAGTTTAAAGCCACAGCTAAAGTTATCTTGGCAGCAATTATTAAATGTTCCTTCCATCAACGTCGGACCCCGCAGCAGCATCAGCGTTAGCGGCCAATTAACTGGAGAGCGAGGGAGAGCTCCCCACGCTGCCCGTTAAGATGAAAGTGGCAAGGTCACCTGACCTCCACCAGCTTATCTCCAAATCACACTGGTTTCATAACCAAGCACTTCAGGTTGGCACAGAGGCAGAGAAGCAAAAAGTCTTTTTTTAGAAGAAAATTGGTCCCTGCTGGTGATTAACAGCCCATCCAGTCTCATCCTCACTCTGTTTATCTGCTCTGTAAGAGAGTCATTTTCTGCTGTAACCGACCCGTCTTTACATGACTAATGCAGACTGAAACACTGGAAGTGCTGACTTAATCTGACAGAAAATAATCCCTTCAAACAGACTTTTTTTTTGGGGTTTTATATCGCAGCAAAGCTTCAAAAATTGCCAAAATATTTTATCTTAAGTATATAATCAATTAATTAATCAATTATTGAATTAATCAACTAATTTTGTAATCGATTATTTGCTAACTGGAGTATAGAGACTCTAAAACATGTCTTTAGCTGACAGAGCGACCCACTTAGAGCAGGAATTATACCAAGATTGTAAAAAAAACAAAGACTAAAAATATTTTGAATTTACACACTGTTAATCTGCTCTATCCAGAACTCCTCAAGTGGAAAAGTTTTAGTTTCACCTGGATTCATTCTGAAAAAAATCTCCTTTAAGGAACGTTTGGCTATCGGATTATTAATCGATTAATAGAAAAAATAATAAACAGATTAATCAATTAGCAAGATAATCATTAGTTGCAGCCTTAATTCAAACTTTAAATAATTTTTTCTTGTTTTTCTTGAGGGTTCAGCCTCGTCTCTCTCGTTGTTCCAATCAGGATTTGGAGCCGATCTGAGGAAAAGGCTGAGTCACTGAAAGACAGACGTTTCCAACAACAGAATAGACTCTAAAACTAAACAAACTGATTTTAGAAGCACATTCAGACTAGGTCTGAATGTGCTTCAGTCTGAATGTCCACAGGTCCAGCTGATATCAAGCTTAGATACCTCAGACATCCCACCTGCTGAGATTCACCACAGTTTGTCTTCTATTGGCTCTATGTACAAATCAGTTCATCCAGTAATGAAAGACAGGAAATAAAAGAGCTGCCTTAAGTTCAGCAAGAAGTGAACTTGGAGCAGTTTGTTTCCCAGCAGCTGCAGCCCAACAGATTATTACTTAATAGTTTTAAAACATAAATTCCTTCATCAGTTTACTAATCTGCAATACTTTTTTTTCTTGTCTTTCACTCTAAGGTTTCCAACTGCAGCAGTGCTTGAGCTTGAAAGTTATTATTTTAACTGAGCTACTCTAATTCATAAAGTTGGCTTTTATTTTATTAGATCTTAATCTTTGTCTTCAAATGGATCAAAACTTAAAATTCAAATGCTTTTTTAGCCTCTAAATGCATCAAACAGGCTAGTTTAAAAAAATCCAACAAATATTATGGGGCATTAGTTGCAGCCTGTTAATGTCTTTTTGGCCATTTTTATGACGGATTAATGTAAATAAGGAATCTTTCCTAAACCAAAGTAACATTTCTGTGAGAGATGATCAACCATTAAAAAGAAGAACGTGTTCAACCCGTCACACCCAGCAGGGAATGCGGCGTTGGCCGGTGAATAGGAGTCAGTGCGTCACACGTGACTCACTCGGCCTTCGATTCAGCTGCATCCACCTGTTTGTTCAGGGCGTAGGAGGGACGCCAGTAATCACAGGAGCCATAAAGAGCAGGCGCCTACCGCTGCGTGAGCCCTAACACCTGCTCTGTACGACACCGTGGCCGCTTCAATACGTGTGGGTGACACGGTGACAGCTTTAAAGTGCACCTGCATCACTTTTCACTCTATTTTTGGCTGCTGTGGGAGTGAAACATGAATGTTTCTACAGAACCAAGCATCCAACAAGTAAAAGTGAAGCTCAAAACATTGGAAACAATTCCTAATTAAAAAATAAAACAATGATACTGCATGACTTTATCTGGCTGGACTGTTGGTTAGACATTTCCATGATTAGTTTTCAAGAAAGAAAACCAGATCACTCAGGAGGACCTTCAGAAAAGATGTGAGACTAAGAGTAGAAAGCTTAGATTTAAGAACTGCTTAGTAAGTTGGGGAATTCCAGACATTATGACGGCATCAGAAGTCACCACAGTAATCAGCACTAGTTAGTTTAAAACATCCTGTTTACATGGCCATGTGAAACAGTCTTACCTTCATAAGAACAGACTCGCTGAGCTTTTCTCTGTTGACGATCTTTATGGCGACCTTTTGACCTGTGACACAGTGGATGCCCAACTTCACCAGACCTGAAACACAAACATTAAACATCATTCACATCAATTCTAATGCAACATGACTGGATTCCAAAGGTCAATGATTTGGTTAAAAAAGTGAACATTCAGGTCAGAGGTCATGAATGGAGGGTGAATGTAAACTGGTTCTCAGGACCTTGAATATTAATTTTTTTTTCTTTTCCCAGTGTTTTATTTTCATTACACGGCCACAAGTACAGAGCAACAAAATTCACCTTCTGCATTTAACCAATCCCCTTGGGGAGCAGTGGGCTGCCAGTGTGTGGCACAGGGGAACAGTGTGGGGATAAGGGTCTTTGCTCAGGGATCCAGAGAGGCAGTCTGTGGGAGTGGGACTGGAACTCAGAACCTCCGGATTCCAAGTGCACCGCCCTATCCACTAGGCCACCACTCCTGCAAATCTCACAGCAGAAAAGCAATAAAAACCATTCAGTAACCCAGACGACTATCAAAACCTTCACCAAACCAACCTGCTCCCCACCGGTCCGTTATGCCGGGTAAATGCTGTACGATATTTTCGTTGATCTCAGCTAAAGCTCAAACTGTACGATGAAACCGCAGGATTTAAAAGTTCACAGCTAATAGTGTCTGTTCTTCCACGACACGGCCCAAAACTCTGATGCGATCACCCTGCTCACACTACATGTCCAGAAACCACACGTCAGACTCAGGCGTTGGTCGGACTCATCAACCTGGAAGAGGAAGAACTCCTTTGCGCCAGGTTTTTTGTAAATCGCCGGATAGCTCTGCTTCAACAGCAGGATTTTCTAACCAACACCTCACGAGGGCCGACTGGATTTCCATGTTTGATTTTCACCTGACCTTACGATTCCTGATTGGGAGGTGGTCGTGTGGTCGGTCCTGAAAGGGCAAAAAGTCGTATATGCCCTGCTTTAGTAAACAACCAAATTCATTCACACTTATTAGAAATCAGGGCATTTTAAGCACTCTTCTCTGCTTCCATCCCTGCTACTAATCATCTTGTTTAAACATTAGAAAAAACGTAACTGTGAAACATGAGGATAATCTGTCATAAAACCTAATGAAAGGTAATTCCACTAGACCTGGTTTGTAGTCTCCTTTTATCTGTGCACCCATAGGCGGAATAGAAGTCGGGCATCCTGAGAATTAGCTCTGAAATTTTGCTAACTTTCAATACAAAATCAAAATAATGTAAAACAGAAAATCAGATTAATCAGTTGGTCCCATGTAACCCATGAAATATCCTCCTTTTACATTCAGACAATTTATCAAGAAATCAGGTACAATTTCACCGGAATCAGTGTCTAAAGTCATAAGGTAGAGTTAGCATCAACTGACACGAATTCTTTCTCACAGCAGCTTGGTCTGACCCAAGATGGCCGCTCTGTGGGCACACCTCTCACCCGATGATGTGGGGTCTATCCATGTCTATGGCTGTGTCCACTCTTCATGGTCTATAGATAATGAACCCCATATTCACCAAAAGAAACAAAACTTTTCAGTAAATTTGACCGTCCAAGTTCCTTCCGGGAAAAAAGTTTTCTTCTAGCTGGAAAAAAAACATGGAAAAATTCTGGGAAAAAAATGCCATCTGGGAGAAACTTCCAACCCTGCTACAGAACTCAGAACTTCAGGATTCAAAGCTCTGTGCACTGAGCACTAGACCTCCACCTCCTCATGGTATTTATTGTTCATCTGTTAACGCTTCATTTTAATGTAATTCTTATACATTTTTCTAAGGTCCACATTTGTGTGACCATTTTTTCTATAATCCTTTTGCAGCTGTAAATACCAGAATTTTCCCATTGTGGGTCAATAAAGGGATTTTCTATTGTATTCTATTCTAAAATTCATCCTGCAAACTTTGCCACATCAGCACATTGGAACAGGACTGAAGAGCCTCAGACCAAAACTTCAAAACTGTATTTAATGAATAAAACAGTCTGCATGCCTTGAACCAAACTTTTATAATATAAAGGAGGGATCCTACTTCACACTAAACCACATCTTACAAATATGAGACAAGAGAATGCATGAAATAGCTTTGATGTTCCTGCTTATCAAACATATATGCTGATGGAGCAACCAGGCAGATATAAATGTAATAGATCTGCCTACTCTTACTCCCAGATCTCCTTTTTGTTGTGCACCCCTGATAGAACTGTTGTAGCGGAACACAAATGTCAACAAGCAATACCTTTATCTTTCCGCAGCCACAATGGCTCTATCCATCTCTATTAAAGCTCTGACACCAGGGACTGCGAGTCTCACTTTGTACTGAAGGTCTGCAGGCGGCGGAGGAAATGCCACTGCGCATATGCACCTCTTCATTACCTCACGCTGCCTGTACATTTCACAGGGGATCAGTTTGAAAGGTGCGTTCCCTGCAGGCGCTTCGCTGGGAAATGAGCAAAGGTAAGAACAATGGGGGTGGGGGGGTGAGGTTGGGGGGTGTTCTGACCAGTATGGCAGCCTGGGGCATCTTTTATGTCACCAGTTAGATCTGAAATGGCATCTGGAATGATGTTGGTCAGGTCTCATTGATCTTCGTGTTCCACAAGACAGAGGATGGCTTCATCTGCGTACCATCAATCATGACAAAGAGAGCGCTTTAAAGGTTGTATATGTATATGGACCCATTCCTCCCGAACACCACAGAGGAGTATCCGAAAAGAAGCTTAGAACGGCGGGAACACCGGGAATGCCAGAGAGTCAGAGGTGAAGGTTTGTTCTCACAATGAAAATATTTGAATAGCAAACTTTCTAATGTTCTGCGTGGATGCACGGTGCAGAAGTGGGTACCGTTGCTGACTTGCATCAAGAACATTTCAGGTTCAATTCCCAGCCCAGGTTCTTTCTGCATTGAGTTTGCATGTTCTCCCTGAGCATGCGTGGGTTCTCTCTGGGTACTCCTGCTTCTTCCCACAGTCCAAAATAATGAATGTTAAAATTATTTGGCTTCTCTAAATTCTCCTTAGGTGTGAGTGTGTGTGAATGGTTGTGTCCTTTTTGTCTCTGTGTTGCCCTTCGATGGACTGGCCACCTATCCAGGGTGGACCCCGCCTCTCACCCAATAACAGATGGAGATACGCACCAGCATCCCTTGTGACCCAGCAGGGATACGTGTGATAGAAAATGGATGGATGGATTTTTTCTGTGTCAGATACTAAAGATCATTGTTTTCCATCCAAAGTCATCCAACTGATGATTGGGATCATAGCTGCTGAAAAAAAACTTTATAATAATGTTGATCCACAAAAAAATTAAGATGACCGAGTTTTAGCTTTGAGTTCATTTCAAGATCTTTGATACTGAAGGAATATTCAGAAATCTTGTATCAAGCCGAGATGAGATTTAATACCGTAATTTTCGGACTATAAGCCGTGACTTTTTCCCCATTTTTCAACCATTTTTCGACCTTGTGGCTTATATAACAATGCGGCTTATCTATAGACTTTTACAACTAACGGCCACTAGGGGTAATACAGTACCTAAAGCTATGGATTTTATCATCCACCATGTTGACGTCACATTTGCTTCAACAGACTAGTAGCCGAGCGTGGGAATGCGAACGTCATCCAGAAGCAGACTCTGAGAAAGACGGACATTGCGAGCGCAAGACAGTTTGTGTGACACCCTCATTATGGAAAACAAACGTTGAAATTCATATGATGCAGCTTTTAAGTTAAGTCAGTCAATTTGGCAGTAAACGAAGGAAATAGAACCGCTGCACGTAACCTTGGAATCAACGAGTCAGTGGTGACACGTTGGAGACGCCAGCAGGAACAATTGTCTCAATTTAATTGTGTTGAAATGTTAAACAGGAGCTTCCCCAAACAGTTGCCTCTTTCCCGACAATCCTCTCTGTGCATGAACCATATGGTAATTAAACAAAAAAAACCTGCAGCTTATAGTCCGGTGTTGCTTGTTTATGTACAAATCATGCAATTTAGCTTCTGCGGCTTATAGTCCGAAAATTACGGTACATTGGTTTATTCAAAACTTAAATCAAACTTTTCAGAGAAAAACATTTACATAAAGTCAAGAAAATGTATTTTAAATTTAAGAATAAAGAACTGCGAGGTAATTTAGACTCTCTGCTCCCACAGGAACGTTTCTATCACTATTATCAGTGTTTAGGGTTAGGGTTCATTAAAAATTATTAAAAGTCATTAAATTAATATTTTTTTAAATTAAGGCCTTAATTGGCCTTAAAATTCATTAAATGTGATTATTGTGGAATTTAAAATGCTTTATTAAAAAAAAAAAGTTTATAAAAGCAATTAAAATATTTGCGCAGAACTGCTTTTGGTTGATTGTAAACCCGTAGGTTCGGAAAAGAAGCTGGAGGTGGGAAAAAAGCTAGATTTCAACAAAAGTGGCTGGAAAAAAAGGATAACAAGGATTTGGGACATGGCTGCAGAATCCACTGATGAATCGGCCAATGAATTATTGGGCGAAAGAATCAGCTGTCTGATGTATCAGCCTTTCTTTAATGATCAATAATTAATAGATGTAGTAGGAGGCAGTGTAACATGTTTGATACGATCACCACCTTTGCATCAAATTGCTTGAATTTCTACAGTTTTGCATTTTATTTATCAGAGATACATTTCTGTTTCAGCTTTAACTAAAACAAACAAACAAAAAAAAGGTTGAAAGTTCAGAGCCCCTATGGTTGGCTTTTATTGTGAAGATTTTTCTGTCCAGAGGCTGTAAAGCCTTTCATTACTGTTATTAACACTCTGACACAGTGGAGGGAAAATAATTCGAATACGCTGCTAATAAATTGAAAAGACGACATCGATGGCCCCGACATCCAGGCTAATGTTTCATTACCAAGAACAGAAGGGAAGTCTAGGGGCCATTCGAGGCCCTTGGACTGTTGCTGTGTAAATAAAAATGAGGCAAACGTCCAAACAATCAACTTTCACATAGCTTCATGTTGCCTGATCATGTTCTGGTTTCCATTCAGAACCCAAACTAAAGCTGGAAGATGAATTGTATGATTT